ATGCATTTGTTCATCCCAAAAGTCTGCAAGAAGATATGGCAAATCAAAACTCCCTGCTCAGAGTGGAGCTAAGGTTAGAGACTCAACTCAAAGCCATATTCATAAAGGATGGTTTCTGATGTTTGCATTGTGCATGGTTCATTTAAAGATATACAAATATATGGATGGTTTATGTGAATGCTGTGTGTATGGGGTTTCTGTGCATAGTGTAGTTGCAGCATTAGTTGATTATTCAGTTTCATATCTAATTGTATATCAAGATATCAATAGTTCTGCTCTGTGTAGTGTTAACACCATCTGGATAATGGAGCACAGTGAGAAACTCCATTAAGTCCAATAAGCAGATTATTGTAAGGTTACTTATTGTCAGCCCCTCAGGTATGTGTGCTTTTGTAAGAACAGATAGAGAAAAGGTACAGTTCTCAGATCAGACAGTACATAGGAATAACTGTTAACACTCAAGGCAGAAGGTTGTTATCAAAAATAACAATCAGTGGCAGGACATGAGGCAAGGAAAATCATAAACTCACAGAGATGTACAGAACAGAAACTGACCCTTTGGTCCAACTCATCCACGCCGACCACATATCCTAAATTAATCTTGTCCCATTTGCCAGCATTTGGCCCACATCCCTGTAAACCTTCCTATTCATGTCCTCATTCAGATGCCTCCTAAATGTTGTAATTGTACCAGCCTCAGACTAATAAAAGAAAATGGCAATTCCATGAGCATGTGAATTGTGAGAGGGCCTAAAGGTCTTTGAAAGAGGTAAAGACACCCAGCAATTTGGGTCTAATAAGGTAACAATGACAGGGCGAAAGGCTTGTGCCTTTCCACTTGACTGATGTGAACTAACATTCGCAGCAAAACAATCATAATATGAATCACTGCCAACTTACTCTCCCGTGATTAATTCCCAGGATAACACTATCCACACAAGTTCACTGACTTTGCTGTGAATTGTGATTTTTGGCCATCACCTAGCTTTGTAGATAAGGATTGGAAATTTGGCGAGAACATCGACATGATGATTGGTCTCTGTGGTGTATTTGGCTATTAACTGGGAGGTTGGGAATTCACAACCACTCAGCAGCCAGGCATTAGAGCAGCATTTCTGTCTTGTAGTTGTTACCAAGTTGACCAATAGCTCCAAGTTCAAGTTCCACCTGCCTCTCAGGTGTGTCAATAATGTCTCCAAACAGGCTGATTTAAAAGAAAAAGCTTTCAAATAAAAATAGAAAATGTTGAAAAGACTCAGCACATCTGGCAGCTTCAGTAAAAGGAGAAGCACAATTGATGTTTGAGGTCAATGACCTTTTGTTGGAACAGTTCTGACAGAACATTGAAATTCTGAGGCAGTTCGGCGTTTTAATGCTGCTTTGCCCACTTTGAGGTAGCGTCCTGACTTAAGGCTGACAACACATGATGGGAGTCACCAGTTCTGGCCTTTAAATAGACACTGGGAAAAGTTGCTGAATTGGCATACACTCAGCAGTCCCTCCCACAAAGATTCTCAGAAATCAGGTCACTGCCAGGATTCAGGACTCCGCAAGACTTTATTTAAGTTCGAACATCTTTGTCACTTTGGCAATACCCACAACTGTCCTTTAAAACATTTTTGATCTTTCTTTGAGGCATCCACATTAGAAAGTAACAGTGAATAGAAAGCTGTAATCTTGAGGGTTCAGAGGATATCCCGAAACCACTCTGGTTGCACTCCTGTGGTTGATGATGCAAACTAAGTCTCCACTCTTCAATTACTGTCTCATTTCTCTCTCGCAACCACCAATAATGTATCAAAGAGCAAATATTTCAGTAAGACAGTCAAGGGAATATTTCTTACTTACCTGCTCTTTCTGCTTGAGTGGGTCTGAATGATGAACTGCCCTGGTAGAGCTGGAACTCATTATTCCTAGGAGTAGATGTGGGGTTTTTGTATGTTACAGTTGGTCAAGTTAATGTCTTCCAGGAGTAACTGTAGCCACCATTCTCCCTCTCCTGTCTGGTGAGCACTCTGTTTCATTTTAGCTGCTATTGACTGCAGTAGGAATAAGTCATAGTACGGCTGGTAGCCATCTTGCTTCTGAGTCAGAAGTCTATGAGTTCAAGACACACTGCAGAGATTTAAGCATGGAATCTGGGTAGATAATCTAGTACTGAAGGAACGCTGCACTGTCAGAAGGATCGCCTCTTGGGTGAGATGTTAAATCTCTCTCAGGCGGCTGTCAAAGATACTGTGACACTTTCAAAGAAGAACAAAAGTGTATCTCTTGGTGTTCGGGCTAATATTTATCCCTCAACCAATATTGTTAAAACAAATTTGGATAATTAGCACACTGTTATTTGTGTGGGAGCTTGCTGTGCACAAATTAATTGCTGCACTTTTGACGTTACACACATTTGAAGGATAGTGATTGTTGTGAAGTGTTTTGGGACATTTGGGGAATGGTGTTAATTCTTTCTTTCTCAGGTACTGACCCCGCTCAGACAGAACAGGAAAATGGCCACGACACTGCCTGCCTTTCACTGCTGGTCTCATTACTGGGCACCTTCACGTCAGCTCTGGGTGCCTCCACTGGGAATATGGTGAGAACTGGAGAATTTATACATATCCAGATTCTTCTCCTTCTCCAAGGACAAAGAACTAGGGAAATGGGAGGGAAGAGTGAGCAGAATGGAAGGAGGAAATTGGGAAGAAAAGCAGTTCTTGGAGATTTGAGAATTGTGCTCAGGACCCTTGTAGTGAAGTGTTAGTGAGGGGAATCAGCAGAGGGGGGAGGATGCTGGGAAACTGGCCCTTAAAGAATACAGCAATAGCAGCAATGTGAAGGAATATACGGGAAGTTATAGGCCATTGAGCCCGTCATTCTGCTCCACCATTCTGGATCATTGACCCCTTTCCTGCACTATCTCCACACCCCGAATGTCATTAATCTTTAGAAACCTACCCTGTGTCTCAACAATTGAAGCTGTACATGTCTGGTGTGTGTGTGTATGTGTGTATGTGTTGGGGGTAGAAAACTTCAAAGATTCATCTCCCCACCCCAGGGAGTGAAGAAATTCTTCCTCATCTCATTCTTTAATTCCCTACAATCCTGTGGGGAATGAGATTGCACTGATTGATGAGGATTCTGCTCTTGTTCACGGACAGGAGCTAGAGGTAGATGACAAACTCAAAGCACACCACAGTTTCCCCTCAGCCTGAGCCAAGGGCTCTCTTGAGTTCCGCTGCAACACATTACAGACGCCTGTGTCGTTTGTTGCTGCGGGTTCGGTTCCCCAGTTGTCCCTAAGAGAGAGAAAAAGAAAATATAAAGCAGCCAACAGTAGGTGGAGCTCCGTCTTAGAGCAAACTCCCTTTCACACGTTCACTAAGCAGCAGCCATACAGTGGTAGAGAACTGGGACCTCCTTTCCCCCCAAGGGTAGGCACTGTCAGCACTAAATGAAGAGCTATAAAGGTGGGGGGGAGTCCTTCAGAGGCTGCACATTACCCACACCGACTTCAACTGGGCAACTTTCTCATCCCATCACCTCTAAGGAATTTAAAGGCAAGGTCCCAGGCAGGTGAGTTTCTGCTGGCAACCTTTAGAAATGAATTTGATCAGTCATTTCTTTTTCTCTCTCTACAGCTGGCGCCTGAAAGTTCTTTTCGACGTTGGAGTTAAATTCAAGTCAATCGAGTGAAATGTTGATTTGTGAACGCTTTAGGGTTAGCGATTTTTTTAAAAAACATGAAATTTTACCCAGAAAATTTGTGGCAAGTGACATTGTTCATTATCTGATATTTCATCAGGACAACCTGTTAAAAAATGATATTCCGCCAAAACAGCTCTTCAATTCCGAGAACCAGGGGAACAGGTACATATATCATCTGAACCAAAATTAAAACATTTACGAAAGGCACCTGAGATGATGAATAGGTGATTTCGTTATTAAATTGCGTGTAACTCAATTTCAAAGATTTTAGTCTCAAAGAGCAGTGAAAACATCAATTCTCTCGCACAGATTTAAATATTCAAAATTTATTCTTACATCTTCATATTGTCCTCCAACTGTACTCAACCAACAGTATTGCCAGAGCTCAGTGTTGTTAAACTGAGCAAGCTCGTCAGTCCATGGCGTTTCTTTTGGCAGGTTGATCAGTAAAAATTGAAAAGGGACAGGCAAATTAAAACTGGAGAATTGTGACATTGGATGGGGGAATCTTGTGGCGCACAGTCCATTGGGAATAGGGAGCATTGGAAATGGGAACAGATAACAGTGTAGTGATTGCAACTCGGATACACTGTCTTTCTCTCTCTCCCTCCAATGAGCTGTAAGAATTAGGAATTGGAGAGAGAGAGAAAGATCGATTTAGTCAGCGAAAAAAAAAACAGAATTTGAAAGTTAGAACAGGACATGTCTTTTCCCTTTCCAAAATCCCTGAAGTATTCACTGTGTGGGATGATACTGAACAATTTAAAAAGAATTAAATCAATCTGTTCAGACATCCTTTTGGAGCAGAAACAGAAATCGCTGGAGAAGCTCAGCAGGTTTGGCAGCATCTGTGGAGAGAAACAGAGTTAATGTTTCGGGTATGGTGACCCTTCCTCTGCTTCTGAGGTTCATCAGTTCTGAGGAAGGGTCACCGGACCTGAAACCTTAACTCTGATTTCTCTCCACAGTTGCTGCCAGACCTGACGAACTTTTCCAGCATTTTCTGGTGTTGTCTCTGATTTACAGCATCCTCAGTTCTCTCGGATTTTCTGCATTTGGGGCAGGTGGGAACATGAACCTGGAACTTCTGGCGGAATTATTTCTGAGGCAGTGAGTTTCGCACCAATAGCTACCGCGTCGCTTAGAGGTTAGTGAAGAGAATTAACTTACAGTGGTGAGTTTGATGGATAGTTCATGTGCAAATCCAGCAGGTTCTTGAAAATAGTAGATGCGTTTGGAGGAGTGGCTAGGGGAGTGGTGCGTGAGATGCGATTTGAACGAAACAGACCATGGTGTAAACCAGCACGCAGGAGGGGGAGACCTGCAATTTCTTGTGTATCTATGAAAACTTGCTGTGCGATTTGTACAAGACATCCAGCATTAACAGACCACTATACCTCCCACAAACATTCTGGAATAAGAGAAAAGGCATAAGAAAAGATCTGCGAACTGTTGGAGTACAGAGTTTCTGCTTTGACTCTTCACCAGGACTGTGTGTTTGGCTGTGGTGCGGTGTGCAGAGTAATACTTGGGGAGGATCATATTTTAGGGAGCGAGATGATTGTAAGGAGATCTGAGGGAGCACATTGCCAAAATGTAAGTGTAAAGAGATGATGTGAGACTTGGTGGAAACATGGACCGAGTACATAGTATAAAGTCACATTTGATCAGCTTTTTGTTTGTTGCTATTGTTTCAGATTTGGTCTTTTTAAACATTTGGCCCCAGCAGCTGGTAGATGATGTGGAATCTTGTAAGAGTCCTGTTGTTTATCCTATCTGCCCTTTGCCCCAGATTTCTCCATAAATGTTCTCCCTCAGGCTGTCTGGGAGATTTCTCTGTTGCTGTTTGATTTTCTTCCTGCCTTCCTCCCAACTCCCAGTTTGCTGATAATATACAAGGTGCTCTCTGCTCAGGCAGTTTTAAAACAACTTCACCCCGCATCACAGAAAACAAACCGCTTGGACATTGCTGTCCTGACTATCTAACTCACTGTCTCACCAGTCAGTCTGGAGGGACTATCTAACAAGGAGACCAAAACCCTTCATTGTCAGCTCCAGACTGAATTATTTCACCTTTATCCCCAGATCATTGCACATATCTTATCCTGGACCAGGTGTTGTTAACATTCACCCCATCCCTTGATGTTTCAAGCATAATTCTTTTTTAATTCATTCATGGGATGAGGGCATTGCTGGCTGGGCAGCATTTATTGCCCATCCCTAATTGCCCACAGGGTAGTTAAGAGTCAACCACATTGTCATGGATCTGGAGTCACATGTAGGCCAGACCAGGTAAGGATGGCAGTTTCTTTCCCCTAAAGGACACTAGTGAACCAGATGGGTTTTTCTGACAATTGATTCATGGTCATCATTAGACTGTTAATTCCAATTTTTTAAAAAATTGAATTCAAATTCCACCATCTGCCACGGTGGGATTCAAACCCAGGTCTCTGGAACATTATCTGGGTCTCTGGATTATTAGTCCTGCAGTGATATCACTAGGTCATCACCTCCCCCAGTGATGTAATTAGAGTCATTTTAATCTGAATTCCCTTGTGGTCTCACAATCTCTTGATCCTCCTCCAACTTTACAACCCTTGTACTGGTTTGTTCTGTGTTGGATCTTCTTCTGCAATGTTGCCGCTTCGACCCCAGCCCTCGCAGCTGGACCTCCAGCCTTCTATATCTTATGATCATGGATTTTACATCCCATCCGCTTCCTTCTCCCTGCTACTTTATGACTTATCTCCTTAATCAAGCTTATGGTCAGCCACCCCAGTATGTTGTCCTTTGACAGTGTTGTTCCCTAGGCTAAGTGCCACCTGTAAGCAAGGAGTGGGCATGTGCGAAGGTTATTGTTGACGTTATTCAACAGCGATGGAAGGAGTTGCCATGTTGAGGGGTTAACTCAGGCCTGATAGTTTTTTATGGGGGGGCGGTTCTCAGGCCCATTATTTATGCAGCGTCCTTGCCCATACCTCTGCCTGTCACAGATTGAGGAGCAAGGAATGATTGCATCCTTCTAGCTTCAGCACCACACTGCATGTGTGCGCCAATCACGCCCTGCCACGTTCACCAGCCACGGTTCCTGCGGTGAGGATGCCTTTACCCTGCGCGATCTGAGGTAACAACACCACCATTGAGAGGCCTTGGAGAGGAGTGCCCATTGCTTTTAAAATCTGATTGGCATGGCATAAAGGTGAAGCAGCCCACCCATGCATTGGTGCTGACATCACTGCTCATGGAACATCCTGAAGCTTGTCACAGCAATCCCCCTGACCGCCCACCATTTTGGCGTTCAGAATAACCACTCCATTTTCCTCACGCTTCTGTGGGGTGCTACGGGCCATGTTCCTACACAAAGGCTGCTACGTAAATGCACGCTGTTGTTCCTGTAATTTCCTTATGTATTTCTCGCTTGTTCAATTTGCCGAGTGAATCGGAATGTGACTCAATGCCACAGTTTTGTACTTTCCCACTCTGTGGAGTTTGTCGATCTCGAGATTAATAATTAGTATGACTCTGGTTTTTTTACTCTGGTTAATGGTTAATCCTTGAGCCTCAAAACCTGTCGTGTCAACAATTGAAAAGGAACCCAAAAACAAATTAATAGTTGGCATTCTTAGCAGGATAAAATACACCCGCAGAGCTGAAGTTAAACTGTGGAATGTAAAAAGATTAGACGTTAGAGAAATCTGAGCTAAAGAGGTGTGGAGAGTTCTCCCACACAACAGATCCACAAAGCAAAGCCCATAAAGTATTTCATAAAGGAATTGTAAAAAATTAGTTTTAGTTAATCTGTATGGAAAAGTTATGACATAGCTCTGGAGCAGGTGGGGCTTGAACCCAGAGCCAGGGCCGTGACTACTGCTCCATTATGGGATGTGAAGTTGGGGTATTGGAGGGTCAGAGGAGTGAGCAAGAGCAGCAACAGTGGATTAGATGGTCTGTCACTGTGAAGTAATCCGATAGCAGAGACTTTCTCAGGCTGGGCCATGCTATGAAGGGTTTAGACTGACAACAGAGGAAGAGTCAGAAGGCATTCTGAAGAAGCGTCACTGGACCTGAAACGTTAACTCTGATTTCTCTCCTCAGATGCTGCCAGACCTGCTGAGATTTTGCAGCAATTTCTGTTTTTGTTTCAGATTTCCAGCATCCGCAGTTCTTTCTGCTTTTAGAGAAGAGTAAGAGCCAGCTCTCATCTCCATTATAAGACAGAGCCCCCATACTGGCACTGGATTACCGTTAGAAGGCAGAGGATTGGGGTTGAGCAACATATTAGCCGTAATCAATTGGTGGAGCAGGCTGGATGGGCCGAATGGCCTAATTCTGCTGCTTTATCTTATTAATATGATTGTGGAAGAAAAGGATGCCAGACAGAAGACTGTGATTTCTGAGTGGTCAGCTTGCTTACCAGAACTGTTAAATGAGAGAACATTATAACAAGTCTTCAAAAACCATAGCCTGCAAGCCAGACATAGTGACTTGGGCATCACGCCATAGGTACTGGCACTGATGAATACTGTGCTCACACACACAAAAATTGGTTGACCTCACTGGATATGGGGAATTTAGCTCTTTGGCACAATGTGTTGGCACATTGCACATGAGTCTCATGGTGCCAGCGAGTGCTATAGGAGCTATCAGTGTGCAGCAGTGACTCAGTCCTGACACTGGTAGTTATCAGGCTGGGCTTTGTACAGGAGTTTGCCGAGTGGGATTTGAAGTGATAAACCTTCTAACTCTGAGGCAACATGAGCCAAGGCTGATTCCAGGATGAAAGTGCAAAGTGGGAGAAAAGTTTTCAACAGAATTTGGAGCATTGTTCCAAATGAGCACGATATGGCTGGAATTCTGTTTGAATACATCAATTAATAACGGGGTTGAATACATTGGGTGGATGCTTCCTTGCTCGAAGAGTATGCCCTTGTTTCCTGCAGTGTTGCTCCACATTGTTCCAGAATCTATGCAGTCTTCAGCTATGATGCAATGTAGGAGGTGAAATGTGCTATATATAGGACCAAGCTCTCTTATGTGTCACTATCCACATGAGAGAGCATTGAACACTCCAGCCACACTGTGGACCCTCCTCAGGCCTTTATGCCCCGTGTACCCATCGTAGGATGTTGGTTTTGGCACTGGGTCTGCTCCTCTGTCAAAAGTAGAACTAAAAATTCCATTTCTCAATATCTTGCAGAACTAAAGAAAAGTTCTGAAGAAGGGTCACTGGGCCAGAAACGTTAACTCTGTTTTCTCCTTCACAGATGCTGCCAGACCTGCTGAGCTTTTCCAGCAACTTTGTTTTTGTTCCTGAAAAAAAGTCATACTGGGCTTGAAACATTCTTTGTCTCCATAGGTTACTGACAGACCTGCTGAGTTTTTCCAACATTTTTGGTTTTTATTTCAAGTTTCCAGCGTCCACAGTCTTTTGCTTACGTTGTCATCTGATATTGGTTGTTTGACTTTTATTGAGCAACAAATGCTGAAATTTGATCAGTTATAGAAACAAAGGAGTTGTTGGATGAATGAAAGATCAAGAGGTATCAATTCACCATCTACCATTCTGCTAGATTCTGATGTGGTTATAATAGGCTGTTTGACTAGTTCCAACAATCAATCTCCATTAGTTAGTCTGCAACAGACTGAAGTGTGAAATGATGGAACACTTGGAAAACTGGAGATCTCAGGCGTGCCAAACTTCTTTTCAATTGTGTGCAGATAAAACATTAACAGCAGTTCTTTTTAATTAAGGGTCTAAGTAGGTGATAATTCTTTACATAACAAAGAAGGCTGTTTTTGTTGAATATTTTTCATTTTTCATTTTTCACTTGGCTAATTATAAAGTGCTACACACAACACTGTTCTCAGAATGTTTAATTGTAGCACTGCCTGACAGAATAGAGTTTGTTGTGGTTTGATGCCAGACAGAAGTTGTGGTTTTGAATGCTGTTTGTAAAGATAATACTTACCCATGAAGTGCATTCTGATACTGCTGACCTGTCTGCTCCTGGATTGGTCAGGTTCTCAATGCTTGGGTTTCTAAATTACGAAGAAATTGCTTTCCATCAGCAGCAGAGAGTATATCAAATTGAGGGGCTCTATGTTTCAGTTTTATCTGCCTCCTATTTCTCAGTCAGGGGAGAGATTCTTTTTTAAGTCCTGTTTGAGTCTGAGGAATGTTTGGGCAGTGTTACAAATTTACAATTCCGGTACAGGTTCCCGTGTGTTGGGGCTGTGGAGTAAAGGGTTATTTGTATTAATACTGTGACAATAGTTCCTGAGCATTTGCTTAAGAACACATACGTCGCACGTTGTACTCTGAATGAGTGCAGCTTGTGGTTGGGTAGAGAGTTTGTTACCAAAAATAAATTCATCAATCTCTCCAGACACATCTCCTGGGTAGTTGGGACTTGAAGCAAGACTTTCTGTCTCAGAGGTATGGGGCAGTACAATTGTGTGACAGGACCACTTAATGCTCCTTTCTATTATTTTAACTTATACATATCAAAGACAAGTAGGGCATGATAACAAGAATCACAATGCCAAAAAAACCTTACAGATTTAAATTTTTTTTTGTGTGTCAATGATGCACCCCTACCCCTGAGATGCCCCCAGTCATGGGAGGCCTGGACGTACAGGTGGGGCATGGCATGCTCCCTCTCCAAGGACATGTGGGCATGAACATAACCACGGCCTGCACCGGGTATAATGGCCCCCATCTGGTCTTATTAATGGCCACCCTGCCTGGGCCCCAGGAGCCAGTCCCCTTATCGTTGTCTGTGCTTGGATGTTCAAACACCTGGAATCCAAGTGCTATTTAACAAACAAGGGGTTTAAGTCTGTATAAACATGGCTGAGGGGCGCCACAAGGCTGAAATCTACTTAACCTAAGGTGGTAGAGGACCATAGAGCTCTTATGGTATTGTACCTACCCCTGAGTTGGAAGGCCTAGATTCAAGTCCTACCCTCCACCCAGGTCCCCATAAGCTATTTTATATCAACCAGCTTGGACATAGAATCCCTGCAGTGTGGAAGCAGGCCATTCGGCCCATCAAGTCGGCACTGCTCCTCCAAAGAGCATCCCACCCAATCCCCATAACCCTGCATTTCCCATGGCTAATCCCCTTTGCCTGCACATCCCTGGAGACTATGGGCAATTTCATATGGCCAACCCACCTAACCTGCACATCTTTGCACTGTGGGAGGAAACCAGAGCACCCGGAGGAAACCCACGCAGACACGGGGAGAATGGGCAAAATCCACATAGACAGTTGCCCAAGGGTGGAATTGAACCCGTTCCCTGGCGCTGTGAGGCATCAGTGCTAACCTCTGAGTACTGTGGGTGAAACACCTCCAGGGACTTGAACACAGACTTTCTGATCCAGAAGTAGGCACGGCCATTGTTCCCAAGATTCCTACGCTGAGTCTAAGGGCTGATTGAATTAATTAGCCTGGTAGAGAACAAATGATGATTGAATCTTAATGAGATGAGGCACTTATCTTACACAAGATGCATGAAAGCAATATGTACAAGTTACACTGATGGAGTGGGCATAATTACCAAGATTATCCAGAGTCAGTGATAACACATCTGTCTCCATGGAGACCTCGCACTAGATGTGCGACAATATCGGACCGAGCGGGCCTTAATGCAGCTTCAGCATTAATTTCTGCAGAACCGTTACCTTATATGACAATGTGAATGTACCAATTAGGAACAGGAGTAGGCCATTCAACCTCTTGAGCTTGTTCTGCTAGTCAATGCGCTCATGGCTGATCTGAAACTCCACATTCCTGCCTGCCCCCAAATAGCCATTGATCCCGTCATCAATCAGGAACCTAGCTCCCTTTGCTGTGAAAATATTTAATGACCCCCCTGAGCTCCAGCATCGCCTGGGGAAAGAGAGTTCCATAGACTCCCAATCTTCTGAGAGAAAATAATTATCTTCATTTCTGCCGTAAATGAGGAGCCCCTCAGTTTTAAATGGCATCCCCTGGTTCTAGGCCCATCCAGGAGGGGAAACATCCCTTTCAGCATCAAAGAGCAATGTCAGATGATGCCAGATCATGTGGGCATTGATGGCGATGCTCAGCTTTGGCATACATTGGTATAAAGTTTACAGGCAATGAATACTAACAATTCGCCTTGTCTTTGGCCCAAGGTCTGAGAGAAGGCCTTGCGAGGAATTTGGAAAGAGAGCAAGAAAGAAAATGGCAAAATACGAGTAAAGGAATGTGATTGGCAAGTGAAATAGAGAGCTAAGGTTAGGGAAAAGAAGGAGCAGCACCTATCAGAGCAGGAGTTTGTGAAGTTGGACAAAGGAGACTTGGAGGGAAAGGGAATGGGAGCTAGAATGAGGTGAAAAGAGTGCAAGAGTTGGAAAGAGATTGGGAAAGTTTAGAGGGATATGGACCATAGGCAAGCAAATGGGTCTGGTTCAGTTTAGGAAGCCTGGTCAGCATGGACTAGTTGGGCTGAAGAGTCTGTTTCCATGCTGTATGACTCTAAGTGAAAGACTCAATCCAGAGTTTAGAAAAAAAAATGACATGAAACTTAAAAATGTCAGGTTCTAGAGATGCGCTAATCTGCATATTTTGTGTGGTGTGTCTGTTACAATTATGGTATGTACCACGTTCTTCTCTGGCTTTTGAACTTTGAAATGTTGGTCACCCATGGTTTAACTTGTGGTACAAAACTGTGAGACTGTGGATTGTGAAACCGCATGTCGTTGTAATCTCAGGAAAAGCCTGCTGCTTTGTGACACCTACTTCTTTATGTGATGCTCTTTTATTGTCTGGCCTTTTCTTTGGCCCTTTATCTCAATTACCACTCTGACCAGCCCACACATAAATGACAAAGCACTGGACCCTGTGCCATTGCGAGTCCTGAAGGTAATCTCAACAAAGGGAGTTTTAAATTGAAAAATAACCAAATCCACAAGACAGGAAATCATTTGTCTTTTCAGTGAAAGGCTAAGGAAAGTTCTTTGTGTGTTTCAATGAGAAGGGATCCTGATTCCAAAATGAGAGACAAAAAGCATTTTAACACTAACCAGGAAACAACAACAAGCTAAAATCTGCTTCAATTCTGTTTTCAGGCTGAACATCATTATCTGCTCCTATATTAAATCCGTCACCATTGGCATTTGATAACGCATGTTGGTGAGTCACTGCCTGGAGCACAGGAAGATTACTGAGAAGTAAGTTCATCTTTTTCAAATTATATTTACCACATGAGCTGGTATCTTCTTTATGTAAAGATTTCCTTGGTGTTAACCATCATTTTCTTTCACAGTTCCTCTCCTCCCCCACCTCCAGAGACCATCTGCTGTCAATCCCCAGTCAATAACAGGCTGTTCCATCTATGAGGGGTTGATTATCCTTAGAATTTTCATTAGGCTTCTATCTAACATTTCCCCAGACGAAAGGGACCAAAGCATCCCATTGTCCAACTTCCCTTGGCAGCAAATGTCTCAGCCTTGCCTCTGGATACTGCAGTTCTGCTCCTTCCCCATTAAGACCTTCAGGATAGAATAGTGAGGAATAGGAGAAACCTTTGGAGAGTATTGGTGAGATTTGACAGTCAGGGAAGGGTGTGAATTAGGAAGCTTTTGTTTTTCCCAATCCTAACCATTCGCTGTGCAAATAAACCTTCCCACTTGCCACCTTTGTTTATTTTGCCATTCATCTGAAACCAGTATCCTATATTTCTTTCCATTGGAATATTTATTTATCATCTCTGCTTAGAGCCCTCATGATTTTGAATGCCTCTATTAAATCTCCTCCTAACCTTCTTGCCTCTAAAGAGAACAGCCTTGGCTTTTCCAATCAATCTTCACAACTCAATTTCCTTATGTCAAGTCCATTTGCCAACATGTCAGTACTATGATTCTCATGCAGCATAAATTGGTGTTCCCTCTAAAATTTGAGATTCTTACATCTATCCTGAGACGAAACGCTATGACATGCCTGTCTCTTTTTTAAATCCTTTCCAGAGAATTTGTTGATAATTAAAATTGATGTTCCATCCCCAAGATCTTTAGCCACTTTCCCCTCCTGCTCCAAAGGTTTGTAATGCACAATAACAGAGAAATTTTTGTTACTGTCATCAAGATAAATTTTCAGGAATATCAATTTGAATAAAATATAATGCAAACAGATAGTTCCATACCTTGCCAGTAGAGAAAGATTCAAACAGTAACCAAATTCAATTTGATACTTTCATTGTCATCAAATAAGATTACAAATATAATTTAACCAGTTTAATTAATCATGTATTATTATGTATTCTATTTGACGGAGAGAAAAGTAAAATTTCAAGAGTTAACTTGAACACAGCTAACCCACTCATCCTTTACAATGACACAAATTAACGACAGGAATTCATAGTGATTACACAGGAAGGGCCAAGAGCTTTGTGTTTTACAAAGAAATACCTGCCCAAATGAGTATTGACTAGCATTATTAGTTTGGGAAGCAGGTGACCACAAAAGGGGGTCTGATGTGCCCTTAATCTCAGGCTTGGTTTGGCCCAGTCCCCTTACTATTGATCCAGTTATCTGCTGTACTTAATCAGTGCCGTAGATGTGGGTACTGTAAGTCTTTATTCACGTTATATCTGAGTGCGTATCAACTTCCTAACCAAAAGCTGTCACAGCCCCTGAGTGAGAGCTGTGAGGAGGGAGGGAGACCTATCAGAGTGAGGGCAGGGTGGGCCTGTCTGTCAGCATGGGCTTCAGTCCTTGGAACCCAGTTACAATGGTGGTCATTTCTTCTTTGAAGGTCACAATCTCAAAGTTCCAGCATGTGACCCCCATTTCCTGACCTCCCACTTTGGGAAACTCTGCTATTTGCATTAGTGCTGTCTAGTACAGACTGTTGCTTCTCACTCACTCAGTCTCTATCTCAGCTTCTAAAAGTACTCTGCTTACATCTAGCCTGTATCCTTAGTTAGATCACTGATTGATTTACATTAACCCCTGACTTCGCAATGATTTGAGATATTTTATTCCCTCCATGGAACAGTGACAAGAGATCCAGTATCCTCTAGCCAACAAGCACTATGCAAGGTATAAGGATTTACACAAGAACTGGGGGAAGGTGTGACTATTTAGTATGATCACGGTCGATCTAGAGTAAACTCACTGTGTCTCACTGTGCCTCTGAGTCCCCAAAGTCTGTTGCCACCTTTGATTAGTAAGGAAAGAAAAGCAAGATAAAAAGCCCTTTGTCATGGTGTTCCACAATGCATTGGGAAGCTGGTTTTGAATCTTGAGACTTAAGATCATGGGCTTCAGTAATTTATTTGGACATCATTAGGCAGGGGTTCAAGTCGGTGGAATTGAATGAAACAAGGGAAAGAAAGCTGCTTTGGATCATCTGGGAACTGAAACTGACAGAAGCTATAAATGGCCACCCAGTACCTCCCCCACTTTTCCTTTCATTCTTCCAGCTGAATTGATATAGTTCTTCCTAAGAACAACGAAAGCTAACTGTCGGCCTGCACAATGGTTGGGTTGTGTTCCTTTTTCCGCCTAACTTCGCTGTATAAGGAGATGATTGCTCTCGCTTTAAACAAATGGGTAAGTATCTAGACTCAAGGCTAGATCAGAAGTTCCCAGGCTGAACGTAGAGAATGATTTAAACTCAGTCTGGATCAGTTCATTTCTTTCTTGTGCGTATGAAGCATAATTTTCCATTCAGTGAATAGAAGAGTGAAAGAAGGAAATATAGTGTGTATTTAATGACTGCCTGATCTTTAATACATTGATTCTTTGCATTGTCATCTCCTTTAACATCCAAACATTGAGGATGATTTGCCATGAAGGATCTGATCAGCACAGTAAACGAAATCATTTTGGGGCTAGTTTGCAAGTTGAATATCCAGATAAATATATGTACCTCTGACTTTAACCTTGGTCTGATGAATGTGGCACTTTAAATCTTCTGTGTCCTAAGTTAATTGCTGCTGTATTGGGATATCTCTGAATGGAATCTCTATCCCCTTTGGTCTTGGGACTGCTACTGATTTAGTCACTGACATTTTATCTTTTATTGAATTAAATTTCTGAAGGACAATGGCATTTCACAATTTGAAGCTTAAATTTCTTTGTCTTTCCCGAATGAATAACCAAGTGGTTTCGAGCAGTTTGCAAGTGTGAGGTTGGATATGAGTGAGGATACAATATTCCACAATTGTTGGGATTTTTAAACACAATGCAAGTGATTGAGGTGTGTCCTTGAGGGCCGTACAAAGAAAGAAATCAAAAATTTAAGAGCTGATACTCCTTTCTTTTGCAATTCATTTTAGTAGGTTTTTTTATGAACAGGAGAAAGCACCGTCTCAAAGGGTTCATTTGCGCAAAAGCTGAACTGGGGAGGAAATTGTAAAGTCTGGAATTATTCAACACAGGCTCTGAATGTTAGTTCAACTGTGCCTTGCATGCTTGGCTCAGCAGTCCTTTCAAGTCAGTATCTCAATGACATTGAGGCATAATACTCACAATTTCAAAGGGGAGAGGAGGAAAAGAAATAGTAGGGTCGATCATAATCCTTTGTACCAGATTTTTAAAGGGGTCTGGATGCTGGGACCCTCTCACAACTTGGCACTTCTGAGTAAAGAAAACTTGAAATTTTACAGCATGTTCTCAGCTTATAACAGAGCCATGTGGGTCAGTTCATCTAGGCGATTGTCAAGAAAAGTTAACCTTGAGTTAATACCTCGCCAAGCTTCTCAAACAGACTGTAGTGTTCCCGGCAGAACTGAACTTGACAAGCATTGTGATTCTAATTTCTGTTGCATGCAGTGGCATCACTAAGAAGCAGATGGCTCATTGTATTTGGGGATCTGACCCTTCAACTCTGAATAGGCAAGTTCAAAGCCAGTTTAGAAGAAGGCAGATGGAGGCTTCTGTTTATAGGCTGGTGGCAAAGGGCACAGAACCATTTTCAGTTGCTAGTTTTTGCTTTTAAAGGAATTTATTGTATGTTGGGCTAACTTGGCATCAAGGTATATGTTTTGAACATGTTTGATCGCTAGGCACTAATTGAAAAATACACACAAAGTGACGATACACAAGAAGAGATAATTTAATATTTCTGATGTGGAACCTTTCTTGTTGTTACAGTAAGTTTGAATTTAACTAATAGATAATGAATCTGGTGATTTGTTCTATTAGCTTTTTCTTCCCTTTTGTTTTAGATTGAAAGAATTTGCGGAGCTTTTTTTTCAAACACCTAATATAATGCCAGTGGGAGTGGTATCAGATAAAGTGCCCATGCCGCAAAGTTTTAACTTTTTTTTCTCAAAAGTACAAGTTAACTCTACACCTTTGGTTGCAAGTCAGCCAGGGCAATTATAAATGACTTCAGTGCTCCCTCCCGTGTTTTGTAGATACTGATAGAAGAGTGAGAATAGAATGGGGCTTGATTGTAATGTGGTCTGTGTAACGAGGGTTATCCAATGTGTGCTATGGTCAAACTGATGCACTGTCTCCAGATTGGAGGACAACAGTTCACTCTGTTCACTTTGTTTCAAAGAATGAGAGGTGATCTCCCTGAAGTATACAAAATTCTAAATAAAAACCAAAAGAACAGAGCGGAAGAGAAACCAGGAGGGAAAGAAAAGTTGCTGGAA